GCAGCTGCCCTGCTCCCCGAAACGCAGACAAGAGGTTTTCTTTCTTTTCTCTCTTCTGGGATCCTTAAGTTACAGCCGTGCTCCTGGCCCCCGGTGTCCCAGGTCACAGGAGTTTTCTTAGACATTAATTTCCCCGAACCTCAGAAACTCCTCAAGCCCCCACTGGCTTCCCCAAGTTTCCACTAGCGGCCCTGGGTCCCCAAACTCACTGGGCGTCTCCCCCCAGGCTCCTAACAGCTTTGCGCACCCCCTCCAGGTCTTGTGGTCGTGCTGACTGCTTTGCAGGGCTCCCCAGAATGCCGCCGGCGTTTCTCTGGCACTTACGCCCTGATCCCAGAACATGAAGTGGAGCTTTCTCCTTGTGCCCCCACAATTTTAGACCTTGACTACAGGGTCTCCCAAGCTTCTGTCCCTGTTCTGACGCCCCCACACCGAAGCCCTGCTCCCCTGGCTCCCCGCAGTTTTGGTCCTGACCTTGCTGAGTTCCACAAAATTATTGGGAACGTGACCTAGGTTCCCTAAATTGTACACAAAGACTCCCAGGTCCCCCAACACACTGAGCACATTTCCTAGACCCTCAGGACTTGCTCCCTAAGCCTCCACGACGATTTAGGCATTTGCCCACAAACACGCCAAGCTCTTTTCCGACGCGCAAAGTCTGCACTGATTTCCTGCATCCCGCAAAGCCGAGAGGGTGACTCCCGATCCCCAAAACTTCTTGTGTGTTCTTTTTCTGCGGGCCATGGAGATTTGGGGCATTCATTTCTGGGACTCCCCAGGCTTCCTTCGCATTTAGACACTGTTGCCCGGGCCCCCCGAACGCGCACCAAGCAGTTGCCTGAGATGCGAGATGTACTCGGTTGACGCCGTGGGTTACCCAGGGTCCCCCCGATTCTCACACGGCCTCCCAGGTCCCCTGGGCCAGACTCCCACACACTAAAACACCCCTGCACAGAGCCTGTGCTTGTCACGCTCGGCTCTGTGGAGTGTCTCCAGTAACCAAACATTCTAGACATTTTCTCTGCGTCATAAACATTTTGAATTCTGAAACATTCCCTGGGCCCCCCTAGCTTACTGACAAGGACCCGGGTTTTCTAAAATCTGGACACCCATTCCAAATCCCAGGACATCCCTGGACCCCTTTCCTGATCCCCGATATTGGGACCTGCTGGCTCCTTTCAAATATTAGGCACTTCCCTCCAGACCCCCAAAACACATTCGGTGTGACCCCTGGGTCACAGAAAGGCACTGATTTTTTGGGCTCCAAAGCTTCCTGTGCACATACAGAGTCACCCCAAATTTAACCAACATTTCCTGGCTCCCTCACACACTGCTAACGTCCCGTAGGTCACCAATTTTGGACACCGATTCTCCAGGCCCCGCGATTCAAGAGCTCAATCCTTTTATCCGTAAAACTTAGATATCGACCCCCAGTTGCCCTGAGGACTCTGAGCAACTTCCCTGGACTCCCAGATTCAAAAGTTATTTTCCCGGGGCCTCGAAATTGAGGTACCGTCTCCCAGCCCTCCAAATAAATTGAGATTTTTTTCCCCCCTCCATAAAACAATTGAGCTTTTTTGGAATATCGACTTATGGGTCGACTGACTCTATGAACATTGCCCCAAGTCCCCTTAAATTTAGGCAATTTTCCATGCGCCCCCCAAAATGAAAATGTCCAGGGCTGAAAAATATCCCCAGACCCTGGAAATGCCAAGCAGCCCCGGCCTGCGACCTGCTCCCTCACTGTGAAACCAGGAACCCTGAAATTTCGCTGTCAATCTTCACTGAACAATTTCCAGGGACTCCCCAAACCAGGGCGACGTTTTACAAGGGTTCCCCGAATGCAGACCGTGCCCAGGAAAACAGAATATTTCTTCCTGTTCACCAAAAAAGAAGCCTATAGTAAAGGAAATTAATTTTAAAAATCAGACTATAAAGGCCATGGATTTTCTGTATTCCCCAAATGTACTGATCACACTCCAGGTCCCCCGCCCCCAAATTTAGATCGTGTTTCGTGAGCCTCTAAGGGACACTGAGAATTTTCCCCGAAGCCACCACAATTATGGAAGCTGCTTTTCTTGAGTGCTGCGAGTGCCCAGGCCATGAACTTGCATTTCTAAATTGTGTGAAATTAACCTCTACTTTCCTCCACCACGTGGAGATTTTGTCTAAAGCTCCAATGGGTCTATTGTTTCCTTTCCTCAATTTTAGAAAATGTGCCTCTCGGGTCGCCCTCAAGTTCCACATAGAGAATTTCTCTTGAGTCACTCAGAAAACTACCTCCCCAGGAGCCACCTGGGATCCCCGCAACCCGCTGACCAAGATGCTGGGTCCCCCACATTCTGGACGGGGATCCTCCGTCGCCCAATTGCGTGGAGCGGTTTCCCCTGATCCCCCAAAGCTGGGCTCTATTTTTCTGGAGTCTCGAATTTAGTGGTTAATCACAGTCCCACATCACAGGGCCTCCCCTGGGTCCCCTACTTGAGGACACTCATTCTCTCGGCCTGCAAATCAGACAGAGCCCCTACTCGTCCCTGATTTCTGGCATTGTCCTTGGGCCACCAGCCGCCCTCCGCAGCCCCCAGTCCCGCGCAGGGCAGGCCCTGATCTCGGGCCTCTCTGTATCTCCCACGAAAGTCCCGGAGCCCCTTGGATTTGCAGAATTTCTGCGTCCCCAAGCACACTTGGCCCGACTACGTGTCCGCCAGGACGTCGGCAGACCTTCTCCCGCGTCCAGGAAAACGACTGGGCATTGCCCCCAGTTTCCCCCAAATTTGGGCATTGTCCCCGGGTCTTCCAACGGGCTGGGCGTTGCCCCCGGACATTGGGGACTGACGGCCTTCGGGGTCTCGCTCACCTTCAGCGCTGTCCACCGCCGGCCGCAGAGCTGTCTCCTGCCTCGGCTCCTAGCGCGCCCGCGGACACAGCCTCCAGCCTCGCGGTGAGCTCCCCGCCGCCTCCACGCCGCAGCGCGGCTCCTGCCCGAACCCGTCGCCGTCCCGCCGGGGCTGGCGCTCGCCTCCGGCAGCCGCCCGGGGACACAGGCGCGGAGCGCGGGAACCCGCTGCGGGCTTGCTGCTCTG